AATCATCATCTTCATCGTTTCCCTCTGATCCAGTCTTCTTCGAGGTGATCTCTCTGGTTTATAGATCATCTTCTCCCAGGTGGATTTTCTAGGTTTGGGTTATCTGATTCTAACACTTTGTTACAATATTTTTCTTCATCTTCATCTCTTTGCTTTGTTGATTCTTCTGCACCAGTGTTCTTGTAGGATTGCTTCCTACTTAATCATTCTAGTTACTTTGCCTTGTAAGTCAAGCTACGTCTCTATGTTGCTGTATGCCCTTTTATGAACTCACGTTTTTCTTTGTTATTATGTTGCAGGAAGATTCTGTAACATGGAGAGGAGTGAGAAGATCAGTCTTGTTGATCGAGTCTTCTCTTGGTCAATCAATGATATTCTTAACAAAGATATCTTCAAGGAACAGATCAAGAACATACCAGACAGGTTTAGGTCAGTTAATGAATACCTTAACTGTTTTGTTCCTCATCTACTAGAGGAAACACGTACAGAGTTGTTCTCAAGCTTCAAATCTTTCTCGAAAGCTCCTGTCTTCTACATACGTTCAATGAAGATAAGGACAATGGCTTCAAACAAGAGAAAAAGTTCGAACAATTTCGATATCTCACTGATGAGTGTTGCAGAAGGAAAGAAATCAGATTATTACGACCCGAAATGCGGAGATCTCATTGCTCTCACTGTATCAGCTAGGCCGAGACGCGTCGATGACTTGAATCCGTTGATTCTTGCTTATGTATACTCTGTTGAAGATGAGCTACATTTCTCTGTTCTTTTGTCTACATCTATGTCCACTGATGAAGAAATCTCGTTTCGTTCCGGTGTTTTTCTAATGACTTTAACTACAAACACTCGTATTTGGAACGCTTTGCATAACGGAGGTGCCAACTTGAGTCTCATCAAGAGTGTCCTGCAAGCAAATACCGCGGTATGTAATCAGAAATGATTCTTGCATATGTATTCTCTGTTGAAGATGAGTACTAATTGTGGTTGTTATTGTGTTTTTCAGGATACAGAACAACATGTTTCTTGTAGGAATTGGGGAAATGATGTATCGGAAATGATACGTTCATCGAACTTGAACTCTTCTCAAGAATCTGCGATTTTGAGTTGCTTGGAGACAAGAAATCTCCTTGACAAGACTAGTGTGAAACTGATTTGGGGACCACCTGGTACCGGTAAGACAAAGACGGTCGCTACTCTTCTCTTTGCCCTTCTCAAACTTAGCTGCAAAACAATTGTGTGTGCTCCTACAAACACAGCTGTGGTAGAAGTTGCATCGAGGCTCTTGAAGTTGCATCGAGGCGCTTCAGAACATTCTACTTACGGTCTTGGGAATGTAGTTTTAGCCGGAAACCGAGTCAGAATGGGGATTGACAGCAAAAATGAAGATCTTCTCGATGTGTTTCTCGATCATCGTATCAGTAGATTGGGTAAACTGTTATCGCCATTGACCGGATGGAAACAGAGTTTGGAGTCAGTCATAAACTTTCTTCAGAGTACAGAGTCTAATTACAAGAAATATCTCTTGTTATGTGA